TAAGTGAACAGAATAGAATAGAAAAGAAGTGAACAGAACAGAATGTTCACTAGACAGAAGTTAATAAAAAAGAGTATAATAAAATCTTAAGTAAACCAGAAGAGACAGAAGAATAGAAAAGCACCTGAATAAAATAGAACAGAATAGAAATGACAGAAGAATGGAATGGAACAGAATAGAAGCAGGAGTGAACTGAATAGACAGAAGTGAACAAAAAAAGAATAGAATAAAATCTGAAGTAAACCAGAAAAGACAGAAGAGAAAAGCACATGAATAGAATAGAATAAGAAATTAACCATAAGAAATAGGACAAGAAACCCTAAATTAAATAGAACAAAATAGAATAGACAGACTATACAATAATAATATAATATATATGTAATAGATAATAATATGAGAACATAATAGAATAGAATCAGAAGTCAACCAGACGAGACAAGAGGTAAGAAGAGAACCTAAACAGAATAGAATATAAAGAAATAAAATAGATCAAAGAAGTGAACAGAACAGAACCAAATAGAATAGAAATGTAGTGAAGAAGAGAAGAGAAGAGAAGAGAAGAGAAGAGAAGAGAAGAGAAGAGAAGAGAAGAGAATATATCTATTATTTTGAGTAAGTCTGTAAGCAAATGGCATGCGTTCTTTCACACATCAACCCACACACACTCACCAGGGCTATTAGGCTGACAATGCTGACGTTAAAGCTCACGTCCTGCAGCTCCGTCACCAGGGATGTGGCCTCCATCCATGGAATGGTCAGTAACCATGCCGACACATACATGATGGGTGCTGATAGGAATGTGCTAATGACCATACCAGAGGTCACCTACCACACACAATACACTTTTACTGATCTGTGTTGGCTAAATGTTTATAGCAATAACTGAGTCTGTGAGACATTTGAAGGAATTCTTTCACCGCTTACCACCTCCAGCTCCATGTTGTACTGGGCAGCATATATGGCCACGCTGGGAGTGGTAGGGAAGACTCCGTAAAGGAATGCATAATCAGACAGGCTGGAGTCATTTACAGAGCTGGAATTACCAGCATCCAAGAGCTCCACCATGTCCTTACACAACAATGGCATAACTAGTCTGGAAAACAGAAACACACAGTCATAAATCTGTCTAAATTGTATGGACCAGCACTCAAATAATATATTTATGCATATGTTCAAGATCTATGCATTTATATATATATACTGTATAAATGTAAGCAATGTATGCATATTTGTCATACATAAAGGGAACAAGAATGATATTTATGTAATAGTACTAATAAACCAAATAAGTTTTAAATACACAAGAACCAGGTTTATATATTTATATATACAATAAATCAAATAAAACTAAATCACTTTATTTTGGGGACAAATTCTCACTATTAACTAACTATTAACTATGACTTTTGCCTCAATAAACTCCTAATTTGCTGCTTATTAATAGTTAGTAAGGTAGTTGTTAAGTTTAGGTATGGGGCAGGATGAGGGATGTAAAATATGGTCATGCAGAATAAGGCATTAATATTTGCTTTATAAGTACTAATAAACAGATCTTTAACGACTATGCCATAACACCCCACATACATCTCTCTTTCACTCACAGTTTGGCAGTGATAAGCAGGATGAGGGAAACCCCAGTGGCACGTGTGAGTTTACCCATCTGTCCCACCATGTTCAGGCCCAGATAAAAGAGGGCCGCCCCTCCAAAAGAGTTTGCCAGTCCATCAACAAACTCTCCTAGTAAAACAGGCACATGTCCACCAAACAGGAAATGAGAGAGAATTCCAACAATAACCATGAAGACTATTGGGTTCTTCAAAACCTGAAAAAAGGAGGAAGAGTTAGAATGATGTAAAAAAGGATGACATCAACAGAAACGTCTGGATAAAGATAAACACATGCACCTGCAGGATGACTGTAAAGATCACATGCAGTTTGCTGTAGCTGCGGTCACTGGTGTGTCTCCATCTCTGAATCTCACACAAAGCAAAGCCCACAGGGTTCAGAAGCATCAGAGACACAGGCGCCACCAGATATATATACTGCATATACTCTGGGTGCGAACTTCTGTACAGCACATCCACTGTTTGAAGAAAATGATCTCATGAATATTGATTTTTGTATGTGCATGTGTACTTGAGGAGATGACGTGAGGAGATCCTCACCTATAGGATATCCCAGTGCAAAGTCATTGCTCTGAGTGGCAAAGATAGCAAACAGCCCGGCTTTACTGTATTTGCTCTCAGGATTTGCCACCAACAGCGTCAGCACACAAACTAGTAAGAACACACACACTTTTGCGATCAAAACGCTCCATAGAAAAGACCAGACGACATGCTGAAACTGCAGCTGCACCATGTTCTTGAAGAGCAACGCAGGAAGTGCGAAACATGACACAAAATTTCCCAGGCCTTTGACTTGTCCCACGCTGATGATGTGACTGCGGCCCGCCATGTAGCCGCAGAGGGTGATGCCAAAGCACTCCAGCAGAGCTGGGAAAAGTTTGTCGATAGACATGGCCGGTGCTCCAAGAGGGCTGTGAGTGATGTTGAGGCCATGAATGGTGACATACTGGCCCTCCATGATGATGAGGTTGACAGGGACCACTGAGAGATGATCTAACGGTGCAAATCAGAAAGCTAGGAATAAAAAAAAAACAGACTGAGGGGAAAAAAACCTCTGTGAGAGGCAAAGTCAGGGCACAACAAAAGAACTGCTGCTCTATATGCCACTGTTTTCTAGCAAAAGTGTGTTTATGAATTTGTAGCTGCCAAGGAATTTACAGCTATAAATTATAAAAATACATTATATTAATATATAAGATAATAAGCAAAATTGTATTGCTGTAACTTGTTTTTACAATAAAAAAGAATACTGACCGAATTCAAATAAAGCAACATATAAAATTCAAAATAAATAGCTAAATCAGATATATATATACACAGTGGTGTGAAAAAGTGTTGGCCCCCTTCCTGATTTCTTATTTTTTTGCATGTATATTATTGTTATATAATTATAATAGATTATTTTGCCTACTATATCTGTAAACTGACGAACTGTACTATAATATTATAATATTCATATATATAATATAATAATACAGTGGTATATTATTTGAAGTCTTAAAAAAAATGAACAAAGATGTTATTTCTTATGATAAACAAGGCCATTCAATGCAGTTAAATCAGCTACATTTGTCATCTGTACTACAACCGTTTCAGTCTTACCTTGCGAAAATAACAGAAATATGACTGCTGTCGATGACGTACCATGTGTTCACGTGTCAAGATGATCGATGCATGGATTGAATATCTTGCTGAAAAAGAAAAACACACCCGAAACATGCATGCTTTCACTCTGCTCACAGCATCTCCAGCGCTTCGGCACTCCGTTATTTCAATTCAATGTCAAATCCCTGAATGACTGACGCGTGAGCCCGCCTATGTCGTTGCAAACCCCGCCTTATTTCGTCTGGTGATGTCGCTGATTGGTGGAAATGTAGACTATACGCTGATAGTCATGGAACATTCTCAAGTGATTGGCCAGAGTCATGCGCGCTAGTGGATGGGCGTCATCTTGCCTCTAATATTAGCAATGAAGGAATCTGTTGGGAGACTTCCACAGGGCCTTGTTGACCACACATATATTTTTTTTTAATGGCAGGTTTCTTTTCATTTATTAAAAAATAAAGTAAAAGTGCACTGAAATTACAAAGAATATGCTTACAAAATACACACATTATATATATATATATATATATATATATATATATATATATATATACGTATAAGAAGAGCTTAAAAAGAACTGCATACTGAAATGCGTTATTTTTTAATGAAAGGCAAAATCCAGCTTCACTTGCATATTTATTTAGAAAACAACATATTTGGCACACCAGAATAGCAGAAGACTGTTTGTTATAAAGTAAATACACAAATGAAACAACATAATATGTTCTGTGTGTATCTACATGCACAAAGAAAATATCTAAAGTACCACATTAAGCATCGGGTCACACAACACTTTCAGTGAGGTGTGCAAACAGAACATAAATCAGAGGCCTTTAGTATTACTAATAATGTTGGTGGCAAATATTGTTTCTTTTTGGCTGTGCAATCATCTCTCTCCTCTCTAATAAATTCAAGACGCTTCAGATGTTATGCTACATTGCATATATCACTGTAATTTTCCTTTTTAATGCATCATTAAAAGGCCTTTGTAATTCATCTCTTTATGTAAACAAACATAAGGCAGCATAAACCAAGCCATTGCTTGGCTTCTTGATTCTTTCAAAGTATATAAATGAAGAAAACAAATGAAATGTAACTCAAGGTATGATACACTTACTGAATATACTTTTAGTCAAGTGCTTTAGGCAAATATAACAGCACACATCTGAGAAATATCCATAAGGCAACATAATACTGAGCAAACATCAACAAAACAAGCAAGTGCATACATACGTATATCATAAAATATAACACTTCTTAAACACATTTTTGGCTTTTTGTCTTACTCCGATACAATCTCATAATACACAGAAACCCACTTGCATAGGATTTTATGGCAAATCATCTTTCATTTAAAGATCAGTCCTGTACAATGTCTGCTCTCAGGCTTGTTTAAATGGGGGATGATCTAAAGAATCTTTAATAAATGGCATCTACATTTTCCCATAAACTCAGTCCTTGCTATTTTCACATCAGGGACTGCATATGTGAACAAATCAATCTGCAACATAAAGAGTACTGACAAACTGCAACTCAGATTTTAGCATTCTGTATATCATTCTGGCCCTTATCACCACATACACATACACACATACAGGTACTAAAGCAAACACATACTCCTTTAATATTTAACTTGACTTTTACATTTGAGGGCTTGAAATGTCAATGCTACTGTATATAACGACGGTGTTGTACGAAGACAGGAAGGTAGCCCTGTTGAAAAAACCAGCATATGCTGGTTTTTTCAACAGGGAGGGGGCGCCAAAACGCACCAAAATGCTTTAATGTAAATGTTGCACTTCTTTAAAAATATAATTACATCAAGGACTGTCTAACAAATACTGATGCCCTATGTGGCTCTATAAATGGCTGCACCATTATCTAAAGGAATGGCTGCCCTGATTAAGCAATGATATATTCTGTATGAGACAAGGACATTTTTCTGTATGTGTCAAGGACCGCCAAAAAGCCAAAACATTCACACTCTCCTGAAGGCCAATGAACTGCTGCAATAACGCATCATACTCAGAAAAACACTCAAAAATAAAGTCAAACTTAGCTGTAGTACCACTGTAGAGCTCATCACTTGACATAGTCATAATAGCCATCATGTATTAATCTCTAAAGCAGACAAAAACAAAATATTATAAAAGATATGTTGTCTGTGATATGTTGTTATTTTTATAGCTCTTTTATACATTTTTAATGAATGACTCTGGCAGAAAATATCAAAAACAGACAGTACCAGAGAACATAAGATAACTGGGTGAGGGAAGGATTGTCAGGCCCTGAGATAACAGTTTCTTTCACCTAGGTATGGGAGGCAGGGGAGGTGCACCTCGCTCTTTCTTTCCTGAACCTGAAACAGACAGAAATATACAAACACACACACAGACACATAAACAAATGGGTAAGACCATGATTGTGCTGAAAGCACTGAATGTTATTCGAAGTATTCATTGGCATGTGGAAGCGACAGCTGCGGGTCAGTTTCGTCTATGAGACGAGAGAAAACAGCTGTGGTTGGTTACCTCGGCTTTCGTTCCTGGCCATTTTGCTAGGATAGGTCTTCTGACAGGGAATGTAGGGCTCTGGGGGTGGAAGATCCGATACAGGTCGAAATGTGAAGCGTGATTCCCACTCATCTTGGAGAAACAAATCAAATGCACACACCATTAATCTGTAGCACAATCTACATACAAATCTAAGCTACTTAGAGTGCTATTTACAGCTCAATAGGAGTACATAAAATGACAAGGAATATGCCTAGGTCAATACATGTTCTGTTGATTATGTTTACAGTAAAAAAAACATGTTTACAGTAATGCACTTACAATAGAAGTATATAGGGGAAGGAGTTCTGAAGTTTCAAAGTAGCAATGTGAACTATTTATGTAAAAGCCCTTTCATTTATTTTTCGATTCAAGTATTTTTATTATTTGATCTGTCGTTGCACTTGTTTAATGATGAGACTACTGTTCTAAACCGATTAGGTTCTTGGTTAGTTCAGCCCTAAAATATACTTTTACGTGTACTTTAGGGTATGTGTACAGTGTGCATGACTTAAATTTCATCATCATACATGCATACTGCACGTGTACAGAGAGGGGCTTATGAGATAACCACAACTCTGGTATCTTGTGACATAAATTTCATAATCAGCATAGCCAGATTTACTAACTGTATTACTCAATTAGTTTATCCACAAGGTAGCAATATTTGCCTATGATGTTACATGGCCAAAAGTATGTGCCCCCTTATAATTACACAATTTAGCAATTTCAGCCACACCCTGCTACACTGCTAAAAGGTACATAAAAGTCCATCATACAGCCATACAGTCTCCTGAGTATGACACTGACTTATGATGCCAGTGCCACCAGTAAAATGGTCTACTGAGTCTACTGAGTGTGGAAGAATCAGACTAGCCTGCACAAATCCAGATCTCAACAGCATTGGGACGAAATGGAACATGGACTGCAAACCAGACTCCAATGCCCAATATCCAACACTATCCCTGATGCTCTAATGTCTGAATGGGAACAAATCCTCACAGCCATGTTCCAACATCTATTGGGCAACCCATCCCTGAAGAGTAGAAGCTGTTATAGCAGCAAAGGAACAACCAGTTCCTTATAAATGAAAATGGGCAGAGCTGGATAGATTACTTAGAAATTGTAGTCCGTTACTGAATCCAAATTACATGACAAAAATTGTAGTTAGTAACGTAATCCATTACATTACACATTTTAGGTAATGTAATCAGACTACTTTTTGATTACTTTTAGATTAGTTTTGACATAACTCTGTTACCACATTGATTTTAATAGGACAATCTTGTACCATATTGATATAAAACTACAAAGAGTAAGAAAATATATTCCATGTGTTGTAATTAACAACATGAAGTGCATTAAACATTGCGTTATGTCAAGGTTTCCCAAACTGGGGTTCGTAAAAGAACTTCTGGAGGTTCGTGAGTTTAATGAAAAGCTAATAATTAATTAAATCATTAAAATGTCAAATTAAAATAAGTCATTTTAAAATAACATCAATCAAAATAAAACACAAAAAAAATATATATATATTTTATTTGTTTACCTGCATGTCATGAGACCATTAACCAACAGAGAACCATGAACATGCAAATGTGATACTTAATTTTTTTAATATTTATTTTAAAATCTCATGGTACTTCAAGTAAATATATTAGGTGAAAGATGTTCAGATGACAAAAAAAAAGTTTGGGAATGCCTGCATTACATGTAAATAAGAAATAATTCTGAATTTGTGCATTTTAAAATTGTGCATTCTTTGTGTGAAAGTCCTGGAAGACTTTCTGACTGTATATAAGTGGTAGGCTATTTTATAAAGGAACTTTTAAAAGATAAAAAAAGAGGAATTAGGGAGAATCAATAACTTATGAATAATTTATTGCCATTGTATGAATAATATATAATCATGTAATCAATAAAAAAGTAACTGTAGTCTGATTACGAGTATTTTAAAATGTAATTTAATCAAATTCTTCGTAAACTCTACAAGTCTCTTGAACAAGCGTATAGGAAAGTCACAATACCTATATGATGTCCCTGATTGTGGTATCCATTGCCCATAGGTGGGGGAGGAGGGAGCAGAGGTCCAGAGGAGGGCCTGTCTGGGGGGAGTGGTGGTCTACTGCCACCACGATGAGGCTCCACACCTGGTCTGTTCGGTGGAGGAGGGGCTGGTGATGACCTCACACTTCCTCCTCCAGGACGGCCAGAAGGAGGTGGAGGTGGAAGAGGACCTGTGGACAAAAAGACAAAGACATAATATAAATGTTCAAACAGGTGAATTTCAGATTATCCTGCAAGAACCTGCAACTCCTCCTCTACCTGTTCGTCCACCTGCATTCCGGCCCAATGCGGGCGGTCTCTCAGAGGGAGGTGGCGGAAGGGGTCCAGATCGCCCGGGTGGAGGGGCAGGAGGATGCGAGCCAAGTGACAGGTTCCGTTCAGGAAGGCGTGGCGTATGCTCCTCAGGAGTAGACGGGCTTGGGCGTCCGGGCGGCAGAGGAGGTGCTGCACTAACAGGTGGCCGCAGAGAGGCAGGAGCAGGAGCTGGAGGAGGAGTTGGTTTACTGCTCACTGATGGTGGAGGTGGAGGGGGAGGGCTGTCCCGAGTGAGTGGCAAAGAAGAACGGTTTGCAGGGGGAACAGGTGGAGGACGGTCATCACCTCGACCAGGTGCAGGGGGAGGAGGAGGCCGCCCAGCATGACCAGCTGAGGGCGAAGGAATGGAAGGAGGACGACCAAATGCAGCTGGCACCGGTGGAGGTGCGGGCTGTCGTCCAGGAGGGTTTGGAGGTGGAGGAGTTGGTGCGGAACCAAGACGAGGAGTCCCTGGAAGTGAGGGTGGTCCCCTGCTCTGTGCCCCACTCTGAAAGGGCCGTGGGGCACTTGGAAGAGGTGGAGGAGGTCCTCCAGGTGTTTCAGGACGCGGTGGGGTCATTCGAGGGCGAGGGGGGTCAACGGATTCACTGCGTTGCAGAGGTGGACGAGGGGCGGAGCCAGATCCTCCTCCGAAGGGCCGTGGACCAGAGCTACGAGCACCAGGTGGCAGAACTGGAGATCTGACACTACTAGAGTCTGAAAGAGAGCAAATAATCTAATATAAAGAGATAATCCAACAAATGCAAGGTCTTTATTTAAATAATTTCTTAGTTTTCTAAACTAAATATTATATTTTATGATTGAATACATAAGGTCCATCATTGGGATTGGCCAAAATTTCTATATATCTCATAAATCCCTGTTGAATGAATGAGTTGGAATGTCTCAGTAAACAGTAGTAGTATGTAGCAAGCTTTAGTAGTATGTTTGACATACATGTGTGTGTTCTTACCATCTCGAGTGGAGCGCAGCTTTGGCATGCCACCCTGGAAGAGCCCACCTAGACCAGCTGGTGCTCCACCTCCACCTCCAAACCCTCCCCCTCCTCCACCTCCTCCTCCAGGCCCGCCTCCTCCTCCACCTCCACCTCCACCACCACCTTTGGGTTCTGTCAAAACAAACATGTACTTATTTAAAACATACTTATTTTACATGCAAAAATCACAAACACACAGAGGAGTTTCGAAAGTATAGTAGCATAAAAGAAAACCTTTTTAAATATATGTGACCCATATAATTAAATTGTGACTGTTTTGGTGCATAGACAAACATAGCCAGTATAACTCCATAAGGTGCTGGTTCTTACGGTCAAGTATGGGGGCGCTACGGTCATTAGTAACCGCCTTCTTTAGCCTTGCTCCTTTGCCGATGTCCGACAGTAGAGCATTCCTGCCCTGCTGCTCCGATTTATTCAAGACAGGCTTCTCAGTGTTTGCCTGTGAGAAAGAGAAGCACAGATATTTTCTGTAGAAATCATTAAAGCACTGGTGCCCCATTGCTTTACCACTTAAGACTGGAATACAATATGTGACTTTTGCCTAGGTTTTTGCCCCAATTTGCAGTCTAGAAGAGTCGACAACAGTTGGCAAAAGTCAAAGCCAGTTTGAAGATTTTGGGCAGTCAAGTTAATAGATTTGACAGAATATCACATAGTGTATGATGGCCCAGTCTCCAGGTTTTTTAGCTTCAGACTATTATTTCATCCAGTCCATCCATATATAACATGCTCGATATTTTGAGCCGATTTTAGAACACACATTGTTTTCATTTGTCACGCCTCTCATAGCAACAAGGTGCTCGTTTCTGTGTGAGGTTACTGTGTGCGACAATGGTAGTGTGTGATAATTTAATGTATGATATCCAGTTTTTCTTTCTAAAGTTGTGTAGTGTATTTAGTGTGTGTGTGTGTACCTGAGAGAAGGTGGGGGGTGGGGGAGGGGGAGGCGGAGGAGGTACCGGCATTTTTTCTCCTTGTTGTCACCTCCTCTCACTGAGACCTGACAAACAGAAAGAGAATTTATATATTTTATATTTTCAAAAGAAATTGTGTTACTTGTTGCCACAACGTTGAGTGGTTTCCAGAGTGCTGTTATGCAGTTGCTAGGGAGTTCTGAATGGTTACTTGCAAAAAAAAGAAGAAAAAAAAAGAAAATTGTTATTAAAACAAATATAATTCTTGAAAACCTTTGGCATAATCTTTTATAATTTCTTAGAAAAACATAATATTTTAACAAAACATATTCACTGCTTATTAATATTTGTAAACATTTATCTACCAATTAATTATTAATAATTTGTGATGTTCAAAAAAAATTACTTTCAAAAATATATTTACATTTTTAAAAAATTATATTTATGTTGCACCTTGAAAAAAGCCTCAGAGGTATTCATTGCTCAAGCACACCACACATGTAGCCTATAATGTGACTCTGACGTTGCGTCACATGAGCGTTTGACTGCGTGGCAGGAGTTTCATTACACTGCTGCTCATATCCATTAATCCATTATTAAGATTCATACACATACATGTATTGTAAGTGTGAGGAAAATATGTTTATTACTTGACAGTTACACCACATAGCAATTTTAGAGTTATTCAATTTAAACTTTCAAATTTAAACTTTTAACAATGACAAAGGTTTTTCAAAACCATACGAAACCAACATGAATACAAAGTGAATATTTCTAAGACATTTGGAACTGGTGTTTTAAACTAGATTTTAAAAAGACCCTTCTTTTTTTATCATGGATTATATCATTTAATTGTCATTGAGCCCATTATCTTTGTCCTTGTAATAATAGTAGTGGTGCTTGAACACCACTAAAAGGAAACCCAACTGTAGCATGAATAGCACCATCTGAAACAACATCACACTTTTCAGGTTTAAAAAAAAAACAGGCCTGAAGCATTCACTCAATCACTGGTAATAATCTACCCACACCACGACCATACTAAAGTGGTCTCGCACAGCCGCAAAGTTTTGAATGGGTTTGACAGTAAGTAACGAGTCTTGAAATATCCTATTGTGCTATATACAAAGATACCTTATTGTGCATGTAATGACATGTGGGAAAGGCCGTAAAAAAAAAAAAGGTAATTTCTGAGATATAGAAAGCTTACTGTAATAGACTAGTGTTTTTATAATATTCCCTCACACACTCATAATACAGCAATGCCAACAATTACAAGCTTTATTTTTCTCTTACATCCGGAAGAGATCATAAACAGGAAGCGCTACAGCAATATACCTCTCACTTCTCATTCTCTCTTTCATAAACACACATCCACATGCGTTAATATCATCCAGACAAAGGTGACAAAGAATCAACAAAAGGTTTAAAACCACAAGTGGGAACACAGATGAGACTCAAAGAAAACAAGTCAACACACAAATACACGGAAACAGATTACAAGCTCTTTAAATCGTCTGCTCTTTCATTATCAAGCTTTCTTACAGACAGCCACATCACACTACTTAATTTCTCGCTCTTTCTTTCACTCTCTCAGGTATTTTTATTCAGAGGTAAGCGGACAACCGGTCAGTTTGGCAAACGTTCTGCTCACTGTGAAGTGAGCAAACTTCCTGATGCTGTGCAAAAATAAATAAAAAATCATTTTGTGTATTTAAATTGTGCTAATCTTGAATAATACGGATCTTTGTTACTGATAAAACCAAAAATCAGCAAAACACTGCTTTGAAATCCCAGAAGTGCAGGGGTAATAATAACTTCATAAACCATTTTTAGAAATATTCACAACTTTTGGGGGGAAATCATCACTGCATTTTAAAAGCTTCATTTTGCATAGCTGTGGTGTGAAGAGAAAAAAGGCCATGTAAAACAACCAAGCTGGAGCCTTTGCCAATTGGTTCCATTGGCAGTAAAAGTTTATTTAACTATCATTAAGAAAATGAGTTAGGACAGGGTTGAATGTTACATCACCTATTTAATATTCATGAGCCATGCTGATTAAGTATTTTAAAAGTGAAGTGATGTTAAAATTAGTCCTCCTATTGCAACTTAACACCTAGAAAACTAGTGTAAATACTGTGTGTGGCACTTAAAAATGTTGCTCTGTTTTGAGCATCCCAACTAGGGGTGCATTCCCCAAAAGCATTGTTAGCCAACAATGGTCACAAGTTCTGTCGTTACAACATAGTTCAACAATTTGACAGTTCCCAAAACCATAGTTTCAATGAATATTCACAAAAGGCAAACAGACTGTGAACAAAAATAGTGAAATAGACCTCAGATGCCATGTTTGATACAACAGCATCTGAGAGAATTATATGTTGCAGAGAAAGCTGTTGACTCAATGAACCGCATCCAAGTAAGAGTGCACACCAATTCCATACATAATTCTATGTTAATGTGATAATAAAAATGATTGGCTTCTTGTTGTATGTTTAAATGATCTGTAACATTCTGACATGTATTGCCATATCAGATTATTAATTAGCAAAAGCAATTACTCCAACAACTGTGGGTTATGTTATTAACGACAGTCAACAAACGTTGAACCAACGACAGAGGTGTTCAAACCAAAATGCACTGCTTCAAGTCAAGTCTGCTTCAAGCAGTCTGTGCTACACACCTATTCATTTTTGCAGTTCTGTTTGGTGATGCTAGTAGTGCAAAAATTACCTCACTTTTATGATTTCCAAGAGGTGATGATTAGCACAAAAAAATGGACATGACAGAGAAGTGGAGAAGAAACAAGAAGTAGGGGTGTGAGAGGAGAAGAAAGGAGCATAAAGTGAAGAAGACACAAGAGAAGTGGTGCACAGTAAAAGTTCCTGGATATGGACAATATTTACATTCCAGTGTCTTGAGAGAGAACAGTGGAGATGGACTATGGAGAATGTGATGCTGGATATACACTCTACAGCTGCCGTCTGGATGGTGCTTTACCATCCAGCAGTCTGAAATGTCATCATGTCTAAAACAGGGACTTTGGCTGGACATTGTGTTCTTTTTGGAATTACTCTATGCCAAGTGTGTGTTTAAGTGTGCCAGTGTCTACAAGCACATAATGCATTTCACCTCTGTAGAAGTCAAGACAGTCAACCCTGCATCCCGATATGTGTTCTAAATAGTAAGTGAAACTTGCAACTTTCACATTTGATGTATGTGTGTAATTTATATTGTAGAACAAATGAAAATACTATTCTAAAAACCCATCGGAAAATCCCAAAGGAACCCATGCCAAATTAGCCTTCCTGGTAGTTCCAATTATTTACATCATGACTGAACAACTGGTGCAACAGTCAGGATCCAGAAGTAAAAATCTCATGCATTTTTTCCACAGTTAAAACAATAACTTGTAAACCTTTAAAGACAGAACTACTGTGAGCTACGTGGCTGATAATCAATGGTATATGGTTTTGTTGAAGCTGTCAGTACTTATATATCTAACCTATATAACAATAATTGTGTTAACAGATGAAATCCTGGTGAGAAACTACGCTATCAAAGATTTTGCAAGAAATCTCCACCAGTCAAAGAATCAAAACAAGCAAATCAAGCCAAAAGAATGCTATACCTATTTATATACACACTGTAAAAAAAATTCTGTAGTTTTTACAAAATAATTTTGGCAGCTGTGGTTGCCAGAATAATTTTGTAAAAAATACAGAAAAACTGTAAACACATTTCAATATCTGGTTAGATATTTTACAGTTTTTCCCTGTATATAGTACAGGAACTTGCTGTTAACAGTTTTTTTCCGTAGCGTTTTTACAAAATTTTACAGTTAAAATTACACTTATTTTTTACAGTGCACTATCAACATCTTTAAATCAACAGTTTTATATTTATCTGTTGTTTTTAATTGGATTATGTCATTATTTGTATTATGTCATTTGTTCCCTTTTAAAGCCATTAATTACACAGACTTGTACTTTTGACTTTTAGTCATATAAGTACACTTTTGCTTCAAATCAAAGTTTGTAATGTTGTGATTCACCTCATTGCTGCTTGGTTTAAGTCATGTCTTAAAACGCTTTAATGAAGACTTTTTAAGAATATCTATGGGAAAAATTCATGGAAGAAATACACTTTCCGAAACAACGCCACTTAAAAAGTGGACGGGCACCACTGCACTCTATTGAGATGTAACCCAGAATTGTAAGACCCAGAATTTATGGAATCCAAATGTAAGGCCAATGTCAACAATGAAAAGTTAAATATATCCAGCTCTCATTAAATAATGTTAACACAAAAAATTAAAAATGGGTGGAGCCCTTCAGCCACAACCTGCTATATCATACATGCAAAATCAGGCAGGAAGGGGCCACCCACAAAGAACCATACGTTCATTTATTTAAAAGTGTCTTGTCAAGATGTAAAGCAGGATTTTTGTCAATTGCGCTTTGCAATGCTTGCTTATAATACCACATCACAAGCAAAAAAGTGGCTTACAAGTGCTCAGCTTGCATAATGTGAGCATGCTTGAGCAAATAATGTGTCTCTGTCTTTCCATCACTTTGTAGGCAGTCTTTACTGTCCACTTCCTTTCTGAAACTCAGCATAATGTTGACACCTCTGGCTACATGCAAGCTTGTATCTAATGGATGATCTCAGATCCCGTCACATGATTTCTGACTCTCTTCGAATCGCTGGTCAAATAGAACACTAAACCAGACAAGAGAGAAGTAGAAGTTATGACAGTACTTCTGTCGCCGAGAGGAAGTTAATGCAGAGAGAGAACTCTATTTGTATGACTTATGCAGCCTAAAATTACTTGTTCCTTCTTAAGTTCTCACTAAAAACTGCACGCCAATATTCAGTCTCAACAGCTCACTGTGATTAAAAAAAAACAGTTGCTTAATAGTGTCATATTTCACACTTGGTAAAAACCACATGAAAAATCAAGAGGACCTGGCATTGACATACGCAGTCTCATAAAAGTCTTTAATGCAAGAAAGCAGATTTGCATTTTCCATACAATCTCAAGCCAACTAACACACAAACAATGTGCTTTAAGGTAACCCATTTAAGAGGAATGAACAGAGCAAAACAATGATACTGTGTTTGAAATAACTTGTGACACTGACAGCTCAAAATAATGTGGTCTTCAATTCACAATAAACAAAAGTTTAAAAACTGAAAGAAAAAAGGAAGTGGAAAGCATATGACTTGCATTGTATATCACTGTGGAGACCCCATGGCCTGTCAATTAGAACCACATGCTCATACTAGTCCGACTAATTTCCACGAATCGGTTCTTTTGAACAGTTCATTTAAAAAAAAAAAAAGCTGTTAAAAACAGATTCATCAATTCTTTTATGTAATACCTTAACTGCGCCATCGGGTGGTCTCTAGAAAGCCACATTTATTGCTCTTTATGTATATGTTTTATTGCTAATTTCGATTATGTTTTTTAAATAAGAATGTCAGCCATGATTCAGCTCACAGAAGCAATTTATACTTATACTTAATACAATTTGCATTGACATTACACAATCCTACAAATGTATTTACATGTACTCGGTTCACTCCAAATAATGCTCGTATTATCATCTCCTTTTGATAATAAATTGGTTTAATGAGCCGTTGTATTTGACTGACTCGATAAACGTTAGAGTCGATTCAGTTCTCGGTTGTATGAAATGATAAAAAGATCCGACTCAAAGAATGATTCATTCATTAATCAGAAATCGCTTGCTACTAGCCTACAGCTGACGGAAGAAAAAAAAAACACTTAGCCTAAGATTTGTTGCGTTTCTAAACAACAGAAAAAAAACTTTTTATTCACCCTGCCACATATTCACGCTCAAACTGGCAACCCAGGAAGTGGGGGAGCCTCTGCTTCCCCTAAAAGTTGGCCACCGTTTCCGCTTTTGTGGATGAAAACGTAGTTTTAAACATAACACTTTATCCAAACAACAATTAACTCACATAATACTTACAAGTTTGCGGCAATAAATAAATCACAGGAAATCAAGTCACAAACTAGATCCTGGAGTCGTGCATTTTAGAAAGCACCAGGCTACGTAAACACTTACCGGTGGTTTGCGTCTTTTTCTCTGCGTCCTGCGCTTACGAACCAAATGCAGCAACGATCATCATCATGAAGCATCTACACAAACGCAGAGGAACACAAGTTTTGAGCCACTCCTTCATGGCAGAAAACGCACACACATACATAACTTCTCCCTACTGTTTCCGCCCAGCGCGTGCTGCCTACAACCCATCACATTCACAGGAATAACATTCAAATCCTATCGCTTTAACAGTGCATGCAAGAATTCAGTACGTCTCAGCAGTATCACATCTCTTTAAATGAGGGAAGTACAGCTCAATGCTTTGAATAAGACGTGATATCTTCTAATGCATTTCTTTACCCAGTTTTTCTTCCTCCACTACACAACAGCCTCTTCGTTCCCTTTATCCGGGACATTCGTCTGTGATGCAACGTTTCCAGATGTGTGCGACTGCCTCGAGCTGAGCTCAAACATCTGTCAAACTCTGCACACAATGTATGACAGAAAAGCTTGGCGCTGTGTGAATGTATGGAACATGTAAAAGATCTTCAAAGAGATTCACTTTTCACAAATTCCTGGTCATAGTGAGAGAGAAAAAAGTCTGCAAAAATGCCTGGAACATAAAACATTTGCTGAACCACTAAAGCCAAGAGAGAGCCCAAACACTGTGATATTACCAGTATTTATTATGCATTACAAGACAAATGTTACATTTTTCAGTCAGGCCTATATGCTTCATCAAAAAGCATGTTTAAACTACAATTAAACTTAAATTAACCATTAAATACGTATATGTATAATAATATATTTGACCAAATACACAGTGGCATATGTCAGAGAAATGTAACAATAGCAGCAGCATCAACTTTAACCATTTGTCTGCTATTTAGGTTTAGTTAATGTGCAGTTAATCAAATACACTTTATTCATTATTTTCTCTTTAAATATCTAACGATTCAAGTACATTGGTTACCATAGAACACACGGACCAAGAAAAATGAAAACAGATCAAACAAACTGAATAAAATATAATATACTCCTATGTAAAATAAATGCCACAATAAATGCCTTTCTCATATTTCTCTGCTTCTGTGCTTAATTCTGTTTAAGTTCTGCGTATACATATGCACACAGAATTCTGAGGTTACACTCTAACAAATGCTGGGTTAAATACAACCCAGTGCTGGGTAAAATAGGGACAAACCCAGCAATTGGGCTGTTTTGACCCAGCGGTTGGGTTAAATGGTTAACCCAACCTTCTGGGTAGTAACCCAACTGCTGGGTCAAAACAACCCAATTGCTGGGTTTGTCCCTATTTTACCCAGCACTGGGTTGTATTTAACCCAGCATCTTTTAGAGTGTAGGAGCGAGCAACTGTATTAACAGAAATACTTTAAATGAAGAGAAACAAACAGTGTGTATGTTTTATTTTCCAGTTGTTGAATAAGCTCACTGTTCCATTAACATCTGGTCTGATCGGGCATCTTTGCCTCTTTGCCTCTTTGCTAAAGCTCAGCAGAGAGTCAAGGCACCATGGCTTCATTCGGGCCTCTGAGCTCTCACAGCATACTGAGCTCGATCAGGCGTCCGGCAAACACTCCTAGTGTACCAATAATACACACAGCCATAAACACACATAGAAGAATGTGATCCAGGACCATAGCGACAAATTTCCATTCCTCTGCGGCCTAGATGAACAGACAGAAGGAAAGACTCAAGTAGTCAGATGAAGATAGAAAAGGAATGTAGAGTAAAACAAAACTTCTAAACTTATTTTCAAAGAGATGCAAAAGTTTCAGAAATATAAAAAAATGATGCAGGTGAATGTTCTCACATTGTTGGACTCCTCGTCGCTTTTCATGGTGTCTGCAATGTATTTAACACCCTCGATGGCACTACGTACATCAGGATTTTTGGTTATGGGAGAGTGGTAAGTGACAGAAGCGGGCATGGGTTTCCCTGAAATGTCAGAGATGTCAAAATCTGCAGGAAAGAGACGCTTTTCCTGTTGTTCCTGGGATGGCCGCTTCATAGTGGAGAAAAACATCAGGTTTGGAATGGTGTCTATGAAGATCTGTGGGACAGTGGAGAAGGTCAAAGTCATACATCTCTGATCAGAATCTCAACAGGATAGCTCAAAGTAAACAAGAAATACCCCCAAATATATGTAAAGTTTAGAAACAAGTAAAAACCTTAAACATTTAAAAAAAAAAAAAAAAGCCTAAATAACTAAATAAAGTATGTGTTCCACTAGCAGTCCAAACAGGACTGCAAAAATAATGATTCCCATGGCTGGAAAATCTGGATTTTGAATGTAACTATGTAACTTCCAAAAAAAAAGTACCTTTGTTAATTGAGTTGTACAGTTTTTCAAGGTAAAAAATAAGTGTCTAAAATGCTGTGGAAGAAATCATCCGCCCTTACTAAAATTTTAATTTTATTAAGTAAACTTAAGAGAAGTTCGAGTATATTTTCCAACTAAGTACACTAAAATAAATGTATTAGTAGTATACTTGTAAGTGTACTATTTCAATACTTTTTGGGTGTAAACTGGCCTGTTTTAGTTTATAAAGTTACATTTTTAAGTGTACTTTAGGTGTAACAGTAGTAAACTGAGAACACAACTAGTTAACGTGTTTCTTTTGTATTCCAAATACACTGTCTGTGAACTATACTATAAGTGAAAGTATAGATATACTGCTGATATACAGTTTACTAGTTACATGCTTCCATCCTCCTTTTTTAGTAAACTACTAGTGTAATAGTTTTTATACTAAAAATACTTCTAAGATTTCAAGGGAACTTACTGTAATATACTTTTTTACTATTTATATATTTGTTTATTATGTTTACTATATATTTATATATATATTCATATATTTTACAGTGGGGAAAATATTTATTTGAGCCCCTGCTGATTTGCCCACTTACAAAGAAATGAAGGGTCTGTAATTTTTATGCTAGGTTTATTTTAACGTATAGAGACAGAATACCAACCAAAAAATCCAGAAAAAACACATTATATAAAGGTTAGAAATTGATTTGCATTTCAGTGAGTGAAACATAAAACATGCTAACACATTAGGTCTGTTACTCTCACTCTCACACCATGAAAGAATTGTCAATAAAATCAACCAAATGTTTATTGGCTTAATTTGGTCAATAGTGCTGTGTAAAAAAGATTAGGTTCCATTCCACCCATGTATATTTACGCAGCTATTCCACTTCAAAGCTGACTTGTAACTATAAATTTGAATATGTCAGTTTATCAGACATAAACATATTCTGAAAGCCAGTATGTGTGGAGAAAAAAAAGGATTTACCAGGATACTTTATCCCAACTACAAGCCAAGCATACTTAGAATACTTAATTATATATCTATATATCTAATTATATTTCTATCTTAAACAATTTTGCTAAGCCTGAAAGTATACTCTCTTATTTATAATTTAAAATAAGCATGCTAACACAAACATACTTGAACACAGAACACAAAAGGAGAAGCTACTCTTTTCCATACATACCTTGCGGACCCAAGCGGGCATGGTGTGTGTGCTGGGGGAGCGGTGGTGTGTGTTGATGACAATCACAGTGATGATGATGGAAGCAATGACAAAGATCATAGTGAAGAGCATGTATTTGCCGATGAGTGGAACAGCACTGGAGGTGGAGGGGATCAACTCAACAATCACCAGCAAGAACACAGTCAGAGAGAGCAGGACAGAGATGCTGAGGGTCATCTTCTCACCTAGACAGAATCAAGTAAAGTTTAAAACGTCCATCAAGCTCCAAATAAAAATAAATAAATAAATAAATATTCAGATGTGATCAAGTACTTAGGCATTACCCCATGATTTTTAATATATTTAAATATATTACCAGAACGTTTCCAACAAAAATAATTAGTTACCATGATATAAAATAAAAATGCATTATGATATAAGATTTGGTTCATACCGTATACCCCTACATACAGTACAATAAAACACAGGGTTACCAGAGTCTGTGGGCAGGTAGAACACAAGCCCAGTGAGGAAGGAGAACAGCATGCAGGGGATGATGACGTTCACGATGAAATAAAGTGGGAGGCGGAGCAGGAGGAAGTGATAAGTGATATCAAGGTAGGGTGTATCTGGACAGCAAGCGTAATACACCCAGTGTTTCCAACTCCTGTAATCCTTCATCACCCACTCTCCGCTCTCCATGAAATTACTTAGGTCCGGTCTGTCACTGTCCTACACAAGCACAAAAAAATGTATGAATAAACTAGTTCATACAAATATATACAATAAGTAATGTACAAATATTCATGCATCTTGATGATCATGTGTGGTGATATAGTTACTGGGTTGACAATGACAAGGTTGCCATCATAGGTCCACGTTCCAATTTTCATGCTGCAGTTTTGCAGGTCGAAGGGAAAGTGAAGGACCACGATCTCACAGTAGCTCCTAAAGATTGCTGGAGGAGTCCATGTTATCATACCCGTGTGCTCCAACAAGACCTTTGTCTCATGGACGATGGCAAAGTCTCCATCAGCACTGCACAAACACATACACAAATAATGAAAGATATCAGAGCAGGTATATGTATTTTTAAGTACAGTAATATTACATGATGGATTCACACTATTGTACAGGTGCAAAGAGTGAAAGTTCTGGACAAAGTGACTCATACTTGTTATAAAGCACTAAATCCGGTTTCCAGATGTCAGTGGAGGGAATTCTGATCTTCCTGATGCCACCGTAGTCGTCAGGATTCCACTGCAGATTCACATCTTTCCATTGCTGAACATCAGATAAGGAGAAAAAGATATCTGTATTAATGACTCCTGACTGCTCCAAGTAGGTACTGTCATGTAAAATTTGAATTTTGAAAGATTTATGCAGTACAGCAGCATTTCTTGAACTGCCTTTAATTCATTAAAATGAATAAACAAAATTACTGCAAAATGTAATCAGAATCATCATAAAAATAATAAGAAAGGCAGATCCATTAAAACATGAAATGTACATAAAAATGTCATTTTTAATGCAATGATTTCTTACTTTTCCTTATAAGTTGAAATGTGACCTCAACATTTCTTGATAGGTTTCATGTGGCACATAAAAAATTTTTTTGTTAAAGTACCAAATCTATGTGTTGTAAACATTGCCTAAATCTCAGTTTTTGTACAT